AAAGTTACTGGTTTATTTTCTATACCAGCTATCATCAAAACTTTCTTAACATCATCTCTCCAACTTCTCATTGAATAATTCTTGATAACTTCAATTTAAAACAACTTATAATTTGTAACAAATGTTGCCATCCTTGATAATGATTATCGACCACTTCCTCCAACTCCAAGTAATAATGCATTACCTTATGCTTATCTTATAATTCTAGCTATTCTTGAAATATGTTCTGTTGCATCCACAAACATTACTAATCTCATCTGTTTCTTTGCTCCTCCTATTATAAATGTATTATCTGTATTATAATCTTCTTAATAGTTATCCATTCTATTAACCAATTAATGCATATCTGGAATCTATTAATATACTTTTATATCTGCATCTCTTGATTACATAAAATCTCCGAAAATTACTCTTTCTGAATCCAATATCTATTCAGAAGTCACTCCAAATTAAGTAAATCCAATCTTTAACATATTTTTTAATTCTTATCTATCATCTTCAGTTGTTAATCTATCATGAAACACTCTTAAATTTTCATGATACCATATCTTTACTAATGCTACTACATCTGGAGTTGATTTTGGAGCTGCTGAACTTATTCCTTAAAACACTCTCCATATATCTCTCAGATTAAATGTATAATGAGATTTAGCTGGTGTTGGTAACATTGTTGATCTTACCTATTAATAAAATGTAAGCACACTCTAAACTAATGTTGGAATACTATTTCTTATTGGCTCATTGAATCTTTTCAAAAAGAAAGATATCAAGGCAGTGAAAATCTCTGAAATATAGTTATTACTCAATTCATTATATCCTATTACATTAAAATGTCTGACTACTCTATTACTAATAAATGTACGACCACCTCCTGGAGGACCCATAGCAGCAAGAATAATAACATCTTCAATTTTCATAAATTAAAGTTCTTTTCTATTGTACCAACCTTTATAATCTAAATATTATCTTAGTAATTCTAATGGTGGTTATGCTCCATATTATTCTTTTTTTGGCATATTTAAATCATCTACAAAAATAATCATTCTCTATCTGATTGGAGGACCAAAAACTCCTTTTCTTCTCTTCTCTAATTTTGAATCTATTGTATCTTATGTTTAATTAGCAGATGTTTAAGCACTAAATGTGAGTGCAATATATAAGAAATCCTCTCCCATTCCAGCTGTTAAAAGACTAAATATATTTTAAGTTTTTCCAGTTCCTGTTGGTCCAGGATTAAGAACATTTTTATTATTTTACAAAAGTAATTTCAATAAATACATATTTCTAGTTGAATCTGCAGTAGGAATCATAATTTCATGGTAAGCTAATTTAGAATCAATACTGAAATTTTAATACATTTGATTCCAGGGAATAAAAGTATTTGTAGAAATATCAAGATAAACTTCATAAAAATCATCTGGCTTATCAAATTTAGCCATAGCTTTCAAAGTATCATTAAATCCTGATCTATTATTTCCAGTAGCTCCAATAGACCAAGTAAGTGAAAAGAAGAACAATTTCTCTAAAGCAGCCTCTAATTATTCCATTTCTTCAACCATAATTTTTTTTAATTCAGTATCAACATATTATGCCAAATAGCAATCTAAAATTCTCATGAGAGATTGCACTAAGTTGTTATTAGATGTAGTAACAATTTCAATGATTGATTTTCTTAAGAAATCAATTGTAGGATCAAGATATTATTTAAAACAATTTATTAACTTATTTTTAATAATTTTACTTTTAATTAAGATAGTTTCTGGAATTCTATTAATCCAAGAATCAATTAATACTTAATATCCTAATGCTTCTGGTTCCATATAAACCATACCACATCTACTTACTGTAGCTGGTGATGCTACTGCTAAATCTTCAACTTCAAACATCATAGTCATATAAGGAGTTAATGTTAAAATTTATCCAGAATTTAAACATAATTTCTTATTATCATCTAACACTGTATTCATTGATTCAATCCATAAGGCATCTACAGGTCCATCAAAAACTACCCAATGTTTTTCACCTGATTCATCTTTTACAGTTTCTCTTACAATATAAGCTAATACACCATCTGTCCATTCATGAGTTTAATCATTAAATTAACCATACAATTATCCCATTGTTATAGATTTTGGATTCAAAATGTGAGTATGTACTTTCAATTTACAAGACATGGCCTTTTATAAAGTTGTTATGGTGCA